ACCCCTTAACTGGCAATCTCACTGCTGTACCTAGCGCCACTGAGGGTGGACGTTTACAAACTAGACGCCATTTGTTAGAGCATGTCCGACTTGTCAAAATGATGGTATGTAGACATCTACGTAGAACGTAAAGGTGCTAAATCACTAAAAAGCAGTAACCTTGCATGAACGATTCGGGAGCTCTGACACCGACCTTTTTCGAGTCCAACCCTTCAGAGATATTGGTGGAGCACGAGAGTGACCATGCGCTGGGAACCGCCGCCCAGTAATACTAGAGTCACTGAAGAAGATCAACATCTACAGCGTAATGGCGACGCATTCAATTTGAAAGTAAAGCAAGACAAAGTCTGCTTTTTTCCTGAGGTCGTTCGACCCCACCTTGCGGAGAATATTCATAAAAAATTGGAGACTTCCAGGCTAGCACTTCTTTCACCTCCTATATGTGGCCCTATCCTCGTGTCAACAAAAGACAACTCAGTCTGACCTCTAGCGCTCTTCTCCAGGAAGAAACTTTACGCTAAGTGACATGACCTCAAACTCGACTTCCGATCTTTCTTCGATCAATAGCTCCTGGAATTCTAGAGATAAGGACAGCGACAAAATTTCCTTGTATAGGCAATACATTGTAGATGACAGAGATGTATGTTTGGATGAGCAAAGACTTCCATAAGAAAAAAAATTCCAAAGTATCCAAGAAGGGATTTACTAATTATGGGACAACCTAATATATACAAACCCACATGTATTATTTACCACCTCTCCACACCGTGAAAGCTGACACTCAGGCATCTAGCCCAGCCTTAAATGCGCAGAATGATTAAGATTTGACTTCTGGACGTACCCCTGTTACGTCTAATAGCTGTGCAAGTACAGATACATGAAAGATTTTACCTGCAACAAGGGATGGCGTACTGGGATAACCATGACATAAATATCGATACAGGGAAAAGTACGATGACGAAAATTGTGACTCTTCTCAAGGAAAATATTGAAGTCTTCGGGAAACAAACTACAGCTAAGCTGAAATAATTTGATAATACAATTTGATGATTTGGTGGGAAATATCACTGAGCTAGCGCACCAACCGATTAACAGCCATTAGCATCTGAGCAATTGAATTGTAATACCAACAAAAAAGGAATACTGAACTGAGAAGTACCACCGCAAAGCTGTGTCGGCCACCTTCGAGCAACCAGTCCTGAAATGTGATTTTCATGAATTCTTCTAGAAGTTTGGCCTTACAAAGGTAGAGTACCCACGTACGTCAAAAATGATCGACGGCACGAGGTAGAATAGTGCCAACAGAAGCTGAATCAAATCGCACAGCATATGAGCAGTTGATATAACGTAAATAGGACTTTTTCTTTTAAGCACGGCCAATTTGAACACGGCTCTGCCAAGAACACCGGCAAATAAAACGATGATGGTGATGGTGACGCCAGCAAGCGTAACGACTCCAAGAAGAACGCCTAACCATAGTTTTCAATGTCATCTGAAAGCTATGCACTGTAGAATCATTTAAGTCGAGAAAATGAAAGTGAGAAAACTAGTCAATTATTCGTCATACTACTTCCCACTTCTATATGAAATAGCCGATTATTATTATTATTATTATTATTATATTATTATTATTATTATTATTATTATTATTATTATTATTATTATTATTATTATTATTATTATTATTATTATTATTATTATTATTATTATTATTATTATTATTATTATTATTATTATTATTATTATTATTATTATTATTATTATTATTATTATTATTATTATTATTATTATTATTATTATTGCTATGGTTGTTGTCCACCCCTGTGCGGGATCCGCTTTTCACTTGGTATTCACACGCACTTTATCCGATTATGTGCCTGATCGGGTGAAGGCCAACTATTAGGTCGTGAAGAAAGTTCTTGCGCTTTTCGGTGTTTCGTTTTTGAACGCTTTATTTTGTTACGAATTCAAGCAAGCTGCCAATGAGCTGTATGTGGTTTTGAAGAGCTTTTCTTGTTCTATCTAACAGCTAGGCTAGCTATGTTCCTTATTATTTAGTTGTCATTTTTTGAAGCCTTGAATACGGCATACTCCAAGAGCAAATTTGCATGATTTCCTTTTTCTAGCTCAAAGCAGGCCAGTATGGAGAGGAAGCAGGTCAAGATATTATAGACGCACTTGGCTGAGATTCGCAATAAATATGGTCTGAAGCAATTGTTCAAAAAGCTTTTGTAAGAATAGCGAGAGCCCTAAAGATTGTGAGGGTGGTGATCGGAGATTGGACAACGCCAACGATTAGTCGAACGTTCTGGTTGAAGCACGTTTGCAAAATCTATTGAGAGGGTTCCTCCTAAACTAATCGCACTTGCATTGTGTTTTCTTGTTGTACGGGAAGAGCTGGAAAGTCCCAAAAATTCAAATAGGGCGTGCCGCGACAGCTCACCATTTTGAAGGGTCGTTCGCCGCGTTCTAGCTTGTTTCATGCCATGAAAAGGACCTGACTTTTTGATCATATTGCAGCGACACACGAAGAACAGAACTGATTCTTTGCTACAGAATACGAACCTTTGGTGAAGTGATCGACCGCGATCAGGCTCTACAAACTTTGCAAAAGTGAAACTTCACTGAAGGAAGGTTGAGGTGACTTTCATAAGGTCAGCGGCTGGTCTAGCTTTTCGTAACCAGGTGGATCTGTTAATGTGGAAAAAGTACTCCTTGATAATGTGTAAAATTACTCCTAGAACTCTGGCACATATGCTCGAAATTCCTCATTATAAAGGAACCGGCTCGTCCCTGACAGGTAGCTCGGACGCACATTCCACAACCAACCCTGCAGAAGTTGGACAAGATTGGCTACGAATTAGTCCTGCGAACATCCTACTCGGTAGACCTTTTGCCTATAATTTGTCACTTTTCGACTACCTGGATAGCTTCTCCAAAGAGTTATGCTTCAAAAACCAACATGATGCGGAAACGACCTCCGCCGGGTTCATCGTCTCTAGAGCTCCAGTATTCTGCACTACCGGGCTGATTCAACGCAGCTATTATTGGCAGAGGTTTGTGGATTCTAACAGTCTTTACTCCAATCAAAAAGGTTTCGAATGAGCCGAGATACAGGCATTTGAAAATCAAGGTCCAAAAGCGCAAGAACTTTCTTCACGACCTAATAATTTCAAATCCTCATGCAACGTATCAAGCCATCGTTGCTTCGGGCGTCCTCTTGGCCGCTTTCCTGGCACGTTAAAGTCTAGACCGATCTTACGGACACTCTCATCATTAGCGCGAAGGACGTGACCGTACCACCTCAGGCGAGCTTCGCGCATCTTATCAGCGATGGGAGCCACACCGAACCGCTTTCTGATGGTATCGTTGCGAATGTGGTCTAAACGGGTAACCCCGGCAGTCCAGCGCAGCATTTTTGTCTCCATTACACTGAGACGAGCCTCAACCTCTTTAGTCACGGGCCAGCACTCAGCTCCGTCTTCATGGTTAACTATTATTATTATTATTATTATCATGATTATTTATTATTATTAGTATTATTATGTCATTACGAAAGAGATCGACGTTCCCTCAACCATTTTTTTCTCTTTAACACTGCATGCTATATTGCATTAGTGGGCATGAATTTGCAAACAAAAATGCTCACTCACAATAATGCTACTACAAAATATATAAATTCGCTAGGCTGGTGTGTGTGTCCTTTTTGTCACAAAATTCATATCTCGCTTCGCTGAAGCGTGGAATGCTGCATTTTAGGGATGACATAGGGTAAGGGACGGGAACATATTTGGTTAAAGTCAAAAAGTAGTCAAAAAGTGAATAGCTGATTCATGATTGGGGTTTTTAAGAGGTCGCTATCCTTCTATTTTATAAAGCGCTAACTTTGTGTGTCGGTTTGTGTATCTGTATGTGTGTGTGTGTGTGTGTGTATGTATGTGTGTCCGTCCGCAAAATGAAGTGAGTGAGAAGGAAGCTCATGGGATAAACAAACCGCTAACAAATCGGGTAGCTTACAGGATTTGAGATATCAATGTTTTGTAGCAGGATAGTGTGGATAGGGCGGAAGTGGTGCAGTGACAAGTGGCGCGCTCACCACGCGAGCGGTCCGGGATCAAATCCTGGGTCGTGAGTCGCCCGGGCCAACCAAGCCTTCCATCCCTCCGGGGTCGGTTAATTGGTACCAGATGTAAATGGGCTGAGTAATTGCTCAGGTAGGATAATGTGTGGATGCTACTTCGCAAAACATGTTTCACGCCTTCACCAATTTTCTTGGATTTTTAATAACAATAAATGTAAAGTGATTCACTAATTATGGGACAACCTAATAAAATCATACAGCGTCGGCAAATAACTCTATTACATATCCGTAATTTGCTAAGCGGTCATGTGTGTCTCTGCCTGTCTGACTTTTTGGTTACAGAATGCTCAAACCTTGAGGTGACATAGGGGACTGGAAACAAACACTGATGGTGAATGATTAAAAGTAATAACCACTAATCAGAGCTGAGACGGGCGTCGAAACTAGTGGTGCGACTATCGACCAAGGAGAACCTCGACAGGGGTCGTATTTACTCCAACGGGCCGTGCCATCAATTATTTTACGAGCTGTTTAGTCGAATTGAAGTTGAAGTGGTACCTCAAAACAAAAAATCCAATGGAAAGTGCTTGTTGCTTTGCTAGTAGTGGTCAGTGCGATAAACGTGGGGAGAAAACGCGCCTTGTAAAAAGATCGTACGAATGGTGAGTAAAAATTACTCTGAATTAATGTACGCGCTTTGAGAACGTGGTGGGGACAGCACAAAGCAGAAGATTCTCAGTCTTTTCAACATCGTTAGTACTGTATCCGCAAATGCCTCGTTCATTGGAGAAGGAGGAAGGAGTCAAGTGCGGTAACAACCGGATAATGGCTGATAAGGAAGGCCAGAAAGTGATAATACCAATTTTGAGCGGCTTTCGCTATAACAGTGGGCCCTTGTCTCGTTCATGTTGTGTGGAGAGTAGGACGCTGTCGAGAATGGTAGGTGATCAAAAGTGATAAAAACTGATAATGGCATTCAAGAAAGGTCGGAATAAAAGTGCTGTCAGCTTCCTTACATCGTTCGCGTCGCATGGATGGTGGGCATTATGAACTAATAATGTTTGATAAAGCTCGATAAGCTGCGTTTCAATGGAAACGCTACCAAAATTATTGAACCGCTTGACTGTCTCGAATCCGTAAAAGGTGTATTCCCATCAGAGACAAGCACTAGACTCTACGCATTCCACACGTCTCATTCCCGTGCCAAAAACAATGCCAAAGCTCAGCTGGGTGACTTTTTCCCTCGTTCGGGATTTTCGCTTGTTCCTCCTAACGTTTCGTCAAAAACGCTAGGGAGAGGGAGGCGTTTGGAACGGCTCCAACAAGACATCTCTTCATCCTACGAACCATGTTTAAGGCTTTGAGAAGAAGATCTCGTTGATAATCGTCAGCGCACTACTAAAAACTTCTATAACACCCTCGCTGGGCAAAACATACAATTCTAACATCATCTCGCAATGCGAGCTTCTACGAATAGAGAAGTTGGAGCCTACCAGTATTCGGTATTGAGTTCAAATACACTCCCTACACCAGATCCTCCAGCGAACGTTTTATAATATTTTTTTGTTTTGAATTACTATTTTCTTCTAGAATACCACCATCTTTGTATATCACTTCTCGATAGTGGCTAAGAAAGTTTTCTAAAGGGGCCTTAAAATACCGAATAATTTCAGATTCACGTTTGATCACGAATTTTTCTCTCGTACTCCTATATGCCCATAGAAGATGTGATCAACTATACAAACACTTATATTGATATACCATTAACCATATGCTCGTCGGCAATTTGCGCGATCTGCTATTCCTATGTGAGTGCTGTCTTCAACACTGCTCTGATAAGTTAAGTAATCACGACAGCTGGAAGAGGTTGCATCTTTGATGGCGTCGTTGAACCGTCATTGGATGAGTTAGAGCCCTTCAGCGCGCTGGCAGGTGAGAAGATTATAAGTTCAGGAACATAGGACTGTATACCGTAACCCTCTCGACGTTGCACTGGGGCGCGCAATGTCACGTGTCATCGATTTCCATGTGTGCTCGGCACCCACTTATCGTTTTCTCTGCGTTCTCTCAACGAAGAGAGAATGCGTCGAGCAAACTCGTCAACTATACAAAGCGCGGTTTGTGTAGTTGGCGATGCTGCGACGCCGCTCAATTTTTGGAATGCTGCGCGCCGGTGTGGCGTCGTTGGTCGTATTCCCTCGCAACCTAACAATGTTACGACATATGTGGCTGCGACCGCGCCCTGGCGCTAGTGTGGGTTAAGGTGTACATCCTATGTTGCTAAACTCATAATCTTGTCTGGCAGGTGTGGTTGACGCTCTGACGTCCAATGTCTGCATCAAAACAGCAGCCCTGCACCTGTCGTGATCACTGCATTCAGAGGCATAATTCGCGGTTCGTTATCTGAGCGACTTTTCTTTTGAATGGTAGCTGTGTTTCAAAGCACAAAAGTCGAGGAACTTCCGTGGCTCAAAAGTGCGCGGCGAAGGCGGCAAGGGCTTGCACGGTCGCGAAACTCGTCCGGGCACACCTTGCTCCCACGCTTGTACAAAGCTTACGAAAAGGAGTTTTTGGGTCCATTCGTCATTCTGTCCTGTTTATTTTTCCTTTACTAACACATCTGGCACCTCAGTATCATATTACGAGCATTGTAACACCCTTTCATCGACCAGTACTTGTGCTTACTAAATACCATCATCAAAATAGATTCTAGGTGATCTTCTTGTGTGGAAGATGAACCACCTCTATATAAAAGGAGCCACAGGGAGTGGAAGCCGGCTGAAGGAGTTCAGGTAAAAGCAGTCAGTTCATTCGCCAGCAGATCAGCATGCTCGAGAAGTTTGATCTCAGATACGCACTACAATTCTGTGCCTATTTCGCTCTTCTACCTTGCGGCATGGGTGACGTTTCGCTTGTTTCCCGTGCTAATAGGAACCGGCGGTGTCGAGTATTTCATTATAATTTCAATGAGTGTGACGGTGAATTCATCTGCTAACGCCTTCGTTTACATCACTTCAAATGAAGAGGTTCGCTTCACCTAAACTGTTAAATGTGTCAGCACTATCATAACTTGTCTGATGCTCGAACGCACACTGTGCAATATCAGAAGGGGTGGTGGGATTCAGGAATTAATGTCATGAGCGAGCGAGACCCAGGGACCATCATAGGCAGCAGGGCGTAAATTGCGAATTCGATAAATGGAATATCTTTTTTGCTCATCGATTTCCGCAGTGATCAAACCCTCATCGATGATTCCTTCTCCAGCTTTCTAACGCTTTGCTGAATAGCCGTAATTAGCCTCCAGGAGGGTGGCCGAGGCGCGAGCCACGCGGGTACGGGCCTGTTGGGCTGGGGAATGCTTTTCGCCGCAAAACGAGCATCGTCCTCATCACAAGGTGGCTCGCCTGCCTCTCGATTTGCTATATTTTTCCTTCTTCTTCAATCTTATCGTAATCTCTTTGGCTCACGAATATTCGCTAACTTACCAGCTCCATAATGCTAAGAATCCAAAATAGATACTGTTTCGTGTACGTTGTTAAATTATTTATTTACAGGTGAAATCAGTACTGTCTTCGAGGAATCTCAGCAGCACAGTGCTTCATGTAAGCAATCATTCTCGGGGAGCACTGGTGGAACCACATCGAGGCTCGCAAAATTTCATCGTCAAAACGTAGGTGTGGTATCTGTAGGCCATAATCCCATGTCAAATAAATATATTAATTTATCTCCCTTCGCTTCTTTTTCTTGGTAACCATTGTGTTCATTAGACAATGGTCAATTATGCTTTATTTCGAAGCGGAATTTTAGGATCCTATTAATAAACGTTCCGATATGACCGTGTGGCCGCCATGAAAATAATTAATTCAAGGTTCTTAATCAATGAGTATGCTTATAGCACAGTCAAAAGCATGACTGACCACTCCAGAGAATGTAACAAGAATCCATTCATTCAGAGTTGCAATCGTAATTGAACTCGATCTTAACCTATACGTGAAGTAATCATCTTTTTTCAGACAATCTTTCTAAACTATAAGCAGCTGCAGTGGTTCAAAAGGGGTGACACTCTAGTAGTTGATCCCGAATCACAATGCTATTTGTCACTTCCCCAACTTCTGTTCCGAATTCTTCAAATGCGAGGTTATACATTCTCAACGTAAAGTATTCAGTATTAGGAAGAAAAACGCAGACATGATAGCACGGCGTAGATTTCCTGGAACATCTACCGCACGTGCAACAAGAATCTGATAACTTGACAGCTCCTGGCATTTAAAAAGTTGTCATACCCGTGAAGTCGAGAGCAACTTGCGCTGAATCATGGAACTCGACACCGGGCGATCCGTTCATGACTTTAGAATTTCGAAATCTTTTTAAACCCCATAATTCATTCACTTTATTGCTTAGATCAAGCGGAATAACCATGACTCGGTTAACCACGCACCTAACAGGGAGGCGGAGGAAAGTACCTCTATCCGGTCCTTTCCTTTTATTAACACGCTCGAACCTTGATTTAGGGTGCATTTAGGATGGGGGGGGGGGGTAGGCGCATCATAACATACCTCCTTGAGATTGCTGCTCTCACACAGCTGCTGAACCAAATCAAATTTCAAAGAAGAAAAAGATCTGGCTGGTTTTAGCAAGCGAGTAGAATTCGATCCAGAAAAGTGTTGTGCAGCTCACTCGATTGGCTTGCTTTCTCATCACCGTTGTTCCATTTAAAACCAGAGTAGCAAGCGATAACTGTTAAAGAATTTCTATTTGCTAATGAAATTTATCATATTAGACATTACATGAAATGAAAGCACCTTTTCGAATTTGTAATAGCGCTCCCTTTTTTCAATTCCATTTCCGTTCTCGTCACAGCGCATGGCTAGGTTACGATTTGAGGTACGAATGGCAAACCTGGACGCACTATGAATGTTTCGAGTATCAACTCTATCACTTAATCGGAAGTTATGGATAAGTCTTAAAGTTTAAACGGTGATAATGAATTTTTTTGGATGTGTATGTATATCGGTTAAAGAAATGAATAGCGAATAGCAAGTCCTCTAGAAGAATCTAAAACCTCGTGCCTGTGAATACGTATCACTATCGCTGTGCTTTACGGCATTATCTAACCATGAGATCCGCTCTTAAAATCGTCAAGCGGGGGCTGGAGGGATTAGTGTTCTGAAACGTATACGAGAGTTTTATTTCAATGGTCCTGGCGACCTGGGTGGGGATGGTGCAGTGACGCTGCCTTCTACTTGCCACTACGAATTGTGCCTAGGAGTCAAACCTAGAATCAAAAAACGTCAATCCCACCTACGGATACCTTCCTTCCGGGATAAGTGTATTGATATCACATCCCTATAGGAATACAGAAACTTTGACTAGTACAACAACCAGCCCTGCAAACTATCCTTTGGCAAACTGCATTCGACAGCAACTTCGATTCCGAATGAGTCATAGTGTGGCTATTCTCGAAAAGGAATGATGTAGGTTGCTTTGTTCTTGATCTTTTTGATACGCCATGGTAGAATGGAAAACCAATGTGTCGTTTTGTTTTGTTGATTGTTGACTGTAGTCCACCTTGAGTTCGACATGAATGCTGGGTTGTGAACAAAAAGCAACCAGCATTCTTGTGAAACAATCTGTGGTCTTGTTGTCTTCAATTCGCTTTGTTTCGTGAACAATTTCGTTGTGAATGTTTAATCTAATAAAGCGTCTGCATCACTGTTTAGTCTCGGTATCATTGCTGGTTCTAC